CCCCCCCCCCCACACACACTCACTTACTGCTACATACACACACACACACTTACACTTTCTTAAGGCCCCTTGCAGTCTATCAGTGCACCCCCACACACACACACTCACTTACTGCTACATACACACAGACACTTACACTTTCTTAAGGCCCCTTGCGGTCTATGGCTGGACCCCCCCCACACACACACACTCACTTACTGCTACATACACACAGACACTTACACTTTCTTAAGGCCCCTTGCGGTCTATGGCTGGACCCCCCCCACACACACACACTCACTTACTGCTACATACACACAGACACTTACACTTTCTTAAGGCCCCTTGCAGTCTATCACTGCACCCCCCCCCGCACGCACACACACTTACTGCAACACACACACACAATTTCTTAAGGCCCCTTGCAGTCTATCACTGCACCCCCCCCCGCACGCACACACACTTACTGCAACACACACACACAATTTCTTAAGGCCCCTTGCAGTCTATCACTGCACCCCCCCCCGCACGCACACACACTTACTGCAACACACACACACAATTTCTTAAGGCCCCTTGCAGTCTATCACTGCACCCCCCCCCGCACGCACACACACTTACTGCAACACACACACACAATTTCTTAAGGCCCCTTGCAGTCTATCACTGCACCCCCCCCCGCACGCACACACACTTACTGCAACACACACACACAATTTCTTAAGGCCCCTTGCAGTCTATCACTGCACCCCCCCCCGCACGCACACACACTTACTGCAACACACACACACAATTTCTTAAGGCCCCTTGCAGTCTATCACTGCACCCCCCCCCGCACGCACACACACTTACTGCAACACACACACACAATTTCTTAAGGCCCCTTGCAGTCTATCACTGCACCCCCCCCCGCACGCACACACACTTACTGCAACACACACACACAATTTCTTAAGGCCCCTTGCAGTCTATCACTGCACCCCCCCCCGCAGCTCTCGGGGTGGGGGGAATCCTGCCCCTACAGCCTGGCCCCCAGAGCTTGGGGGGCTTTGCGGGGTATCCTGCCCTGGGCTACAGCCGCCATACCCTAAGCTATATGAGGGGAATCCTTCCCCCTACCCATATATGTGTGTGTGGGGGGGGTGTGGAAATCCTGCCCCTACAGCCCTGTCCCCCGTACACCTCCAAGCTAATTGGGGGCGTCCTGCCCTAGGCTACAGCTCTGCCATACCCTAAGCTATATGAGGGGAATCCTTCCCCCTACCCATATATGTGTGTGTGGGGGGGGTGTGGAAATCCTGCCCCTACAGCCCTGTCCCCCGTACACCTCCAAGCTAATTGGGGGCGTCCTGCCCTAGGCTACAGCTCTGCCATACCCTAAGCTATATGAGGGGAATCCTTCCCCCTACCCATATATGTGTGTGTGGGGGGGGTGTGGAAATCCTGCCCCTACAGCCCTGTCCCCCGTACACCTCCAAGCTAATTGGGGGCGTCCTGCCCTAGGCTACAGCTCTGCCATACCCTAAGCTATATGGGGCGCAATCCTGCCCCTACAGCCCTGTCCCCCGTACACCTCCGAGCTAATTGGGGGCGTCCTGCCCTAGGCTACAGCTCTGCCATACCCTAAGCTATATGGGGCGCAATCCTGCCCCTACAGCCCTCCCCCATGCCCCCAAGCTATATGGGGGAATCATCCCCCATATCCCAAGCTATTTGGCAGGGAACCCTGCTCCTCTAGCCCCATACCCCAAGCTACTGGGGAGGCACTCCTGCCCAAGCAACCCCTCTACACCCACATCAGGCTACCATACGGGCAGGATGCTTCCCCTTCACCATTGATCTACCGGAGGGCTGGCTGCCCAGAAAGTACCCCAGTCACCACCACCACCACCCACCCAGAGCTCTTGGCCAGCTGCTCCACACCTGCACCAGACTATCATGGGGCAAAATGTGCCCCATCCCCACAACTGCCATCTCCCACGCACACACACACCACCACCAAGCTATTGGGGGGGTCACTCTGCCTCGGTAAACCCCGCCCCTCCCCACACACCCATTGGCTAATGAGGGGGTATTTTGCTCCAACAACTCCCCTTTCACACCTGTCGTGGCCAGATGCATGGAGGAAATAAGGGGGGGGGGCTGTCCACCAACACACGTAACGCATGGACAGACTCCCCTAAACCCCATCCCAACCACCTCCCAGACACACACCTCAATTTCTATCCTTTTAGATACCTCAGAAATATCTGCGTATTCTGAGTTTAGGTGCTGCTTCTGAGCAAGTGAGTGCAAAGAAACCTGGATCTGTACACAGAGCTCATTAACTGCAGGTTCTTTCCCATGACGCGGAGATAGTAAAACCACTCTGGACTGCTAACTGTTTCTATGACCACTGAGAGTCTGATGCAAGAATTTCTCATCTGAGCTTTGCTCTACTCTACACACCTATGTCTGTACCACTATGTTGCTTAGGGGTGTGGAAAATCTACACCTCTGAGCAATGCAGTTACCCCAACCTAATCCCCTGAGAAAGAAAGAAAGATATGAAAATACCCTTCGTTCTTACTAGTTTGCATCATTTTAGCTGGGTCAGGATTGGTTTTAAAACTCACACTGAAATCAGGGAGAGGTGGAGAGCCTCAAAACACCCCTGAAATTCACGCATCTTATTTAGGTGTCCAGATATAGAGTTAGGTACCTAACATTAGGCACCTAAGGTCCCAGTTCTGCAAACACTATGCCATGTTTAATTTTAAGCATGTGAAAAACAATTTTAAAAAAATGAGTAGTCCTGTGGTACCTTAGAGACTAACAAAAACATATATAGTATCATGAGCTTTTGTGGGCACTTCTTCAGATGAAATGATCTTGAGTGGAGAAAAAAAGGGGGACCCCCAGAATAAGAAAGGAGGGGGGGAACAATTACCTGTCAATAGTAGCTCCAATGCTAATGAGGCTAATTGAGTGGGCTGGAAGGGTCGCATACTTAGATTTCAGTGTCAATAGGGTATTGAATGTAAGGAAAGCTGGTGTTCTAATATGTCAGGCATGTCCAAAGTCCGGCCCGCGGGCCAATTGCGGCCCGTGTTCCGGTTTAATACGGCCCCCCAGGTAATTTGGCAATATCTATCTTTTATGGCCCCCAACGAATCCATATGTATTGAGATGAATACATTGTAAAATCTCAGTTAATGTCAGTTGGTCTAAATCAGTTATAAATATATTTGGACACAACATGTATACTTGGTGTTATGTTCCTGTTCATATTTTTTGAACTTAAATGTTGACAGACAACCTTTATTACCAATAATATGTAATGTACTTTACAATGTTCCTGACATATATTTCAGCTTCCTGGATTTTTTTTTTCATCTGGCCTTCAGATATGAAAGGCAGAGTGATTTAACACCTGTTTAGATTTGTCATCCATGTGATGAAATGAAAAGTATGCCGTTTGCAATCAACTTTGCATAAAATAGTTAATTTGCATTTAATTTTAATGGTTCAAAGAATGTCAGGCAAAATGGTCGGCCCTCACGCATGTTCACTTCATCAAATCTGGCCCTCGTTGAAAAAAATTTGGACACCCCTGTAAAATATGTTAACCTGTTCAAGTCTTTGTTCAAGCCAAGTGAGATGGTGTCGAATTGGATATAAAGGTTAACTCTGCACACCCTCTCTCTCTCTGTAGTTAGCTAAGAGAGCTTGCCCATGAAAGCTCATGATACGGTACATGTGAAAATCATGGCAGACAGG